CATAGAGGGAGAAATGTAATGTCTCCCCATGTGGGATTATTTTGGACATGTGTGGTCACGGAGGCACAAAATGGGAACAAACTTTTTAGCTATTCAGGTACAACACTCGTGAAACATTTTGCTTCTTTTTGTCATATAGAGACAAGGTTACTGGTACATCGTCGTCCCTGCTGTATGTGACTACCACCGTGTCTCGTGTCTGAATATGTTCTGTCCACTGGTTGAAATGTAGTCTGTTGGCGGTTAAATTACTCAAAACCACCAACGTGCCCCAAAGCAGAGACAGACCGCTCGAGCCTGGCAGGTCATTTTATTAAAAGCATGTTGTTCCTTTTCATGTCGGACTCAACGAAGGCGTAAGTGACTAACATCGGAGGCCACAATCAGCAGCATCAACAGCACTGCAAATGAAGGCGATAGTCGCCGCTGCGCTGCCCCGTCTCTCTTCCTCCCAGTCTCGCTGTCTATACATCTCCCTCTTTCTCTCTTCTCCCCCACTTCTCTCGCTTTCCCATTTTCCGTTGACAAGCTCTCTGAAACTTTGACCACACAGCCTGGAAAAATAGCACGGAGTCATGCTGCAAGGCAAGTCTATCCCTGACCCTGATTCCCTCTCACCACATTTCCATCAGCACCAAAGTAAAACACATCTAATCATTTCAATTTTCCCCCTCTGTCGCAGTATTATTAACATTGTTAATTTTCTGAGGGTTGCAGCCCAAAAGGGAATTTTCAAGGGAAATGCATTACGGCGAGATATTCCATTGATCCACCATTATACACACTTACTTGGTTGCTGTAATGGTCTAATGATACCAAGAGGCCAATTTAAAACCAATGTAGAAAACAGAAAGTTAGAAAGACCTATGAAAAAATCCCTAGTATATGTAGACATGACCTAACATCTAGAAAGTTCTGCTGCTATGTTTTAGGCAGTCTTGAGCTTCGTTTGTATAAAACACCACAACAAATCATCTGTCCTACTCTTTACTACTACTTCAGGAACGATTCCTCCTGTATGAACTTACTTAAAAGACTATAATATCCGAGGTACTATGTACCAGGTACCAAAATATATATTTTCTTTAAAATCATCCAGATTATAAACTTAAAATTTACCACTTCCAAGACACAAGTACATAAAATAAGCTGCTCCAGAGTTGCCTACATCCGGACCTATTCGCATTAATCTCTTCCACTGTGTACACATTTTTTCACGATTTTCTTTTTAAATTAGAAAATACTCCAAAAGTGAGGAACACGTGTGGTAGAATGTGGAAGAACTGGATTTTGATATCAGGACTGAAATCTTTTTATTTTTTATTTTTAATCATTTTCATTTTACATTTTTGACATATAAACATATAATTATACAATAATAAAACAAATTTCTCAAATTATCTTGATGTATGCTCAATCATGTGCCTATGATTGCCACTGGGGTCGTTTGGCATCGACGTGTCGTTGTGTTACTGCACAGGAACAGCGTGCTTTGTTGCAAGTATGACACGTGATGTCCTCGACACGGTATGGGTTGTATTCCTTTTGGCATTTTCTACAAAACTGTTTGAAGTAAACCTTGTTGGTGCCCTGAACACACCACACATAGGCACTCTCCCATCGCTCAATCATGTAGGCAAGTAAATCCCAAAAGGTTGATTCTGTCCATCTGGACGTTCAACCTTTTGGGGTAGATTCTCAAATTGCATTAATACCATTAATATTCACAGTGTTACATGAACAGAAAACCATACAGGAGCCTTTTTAAATATTGTGTTTCATTTAATTAGTAAAAACTTCTGATTGTTGTCACGTACGGAGTATGAAACATGATTTTTTTTAAAGCACCAGATTGTCACTGCCATCATTTCAACCCATCATTAAGCTGAAAAACCAGCAGATTCTTCGCCTACGTGTAACAGCTCCCACAGAAGAACTGTCCACTGGTGAACATGGCAGAGACAGTCTGTGTTGGATGCAGTTTCATTGCATTCCTTCAGTCATGTAAGAAGATTAGGCAACAGAAAATATATTAATCAAACTTGGTGAAGACATAGAGAGTTAGGAAATTACAGTTTTGGTGCAGACCCAGAACACTTTCTTCAAAACTACCAGTTCGGGTATTGGTCTTGGTGGAAGATACACTTTCTAAGTATCTTTGGAACTTAATGGCAAATAACAAAAATGTATCTACCTGCCAGCAGCAATCAAATCACAGAAGAAGATGATGTCAGTGCTGTGTCTGTGCAACAGAAACGCACAAGACTTCCATGTTTGCATAAAATCTCAGTAATATAGAGTAAAGTGTAGCCAAGTTTAAACAGCTCTATGAAGCAGTAAAGGAATCTATTTATTTAATGTGCAGAAAAATGAGGCTGATTAAACTTGCAGGTGGTAAAAATGAGGCTAAATAAAAATGATTTTATTAAGAAGGCAATCACACACCACTTAATTCATTCGAACAGACGTGGGTTGATGAGCTAGCTATGAAACGTGATAGTTGTCACATGTACAGTAACATAATGAAACTTATAATCAGCCCTGAGGAACAAAACTATGCCCACCCAACACCCAAAGGTTCATTGGGCTCACAGCGGCTATACGCAAAAATCCAAAGCCACACAACGTAGAAAATAGCAAATAGGGCAGAGAAAGCTTTTTGAAGAGCCTGTTAAGAGCTCAACGCATTCTCTAATTATAGATCTCACTTGTTGTCTTTTGAAGAGAACTGTAAATGGGAGCACGCCAAAGTTTCAGATTACTACAAGTCTCATAAAAAATGAGGAAAAACAGCCCATGGCAGACCACTTTACAGGAGTATAAGAGCTTTTTTTACGTCCCCTATCATTTCACTTAAGTGTAAGACATAAAGTATTAATGAAGAGTGAGAAGAAAAGGAACACTTCACTTAAAGACTTACACCAGTAAGAGACCATGTGTCAAATGAGAGGGGAGAGAAATACCCCTGAAAGTGTCAAAAGACCGCCACGTAGAACACATCTGAGGATTTAGATAGATAGATAGATAGATAGATAGATAGATAGATGGATAGATATTTCATCATTTTGCCTCAGTTCATAGTGGGCTCTGTAAGTTTATATGACTGCGAACACAGTATTGTAGGAGTGTGTGACAGTGTGAACTATCGCATGTTGTGGCCTTTGTTCTTCCACTCACACTCCTTCTGGAATAAGAAAATAAAGCGATGAAGGTCAGTTGGAGAGCAGACTGCCAAATATAGCCGCTGTGTTCATGTGAGGGCCAGACTCTCCAGAACGACAAGCCCAGCTCTGACCATGCCCTGTAATTGAGGAGAAAATAAGGACAGAAATTATATGTTTATTTTTGACAACAATTTTAATCTTCTGTGCTCTCCTTCAGAAAACGAGACGCCCACAAAATGGCGCTGGGATTCTGTCTTATTCGAGACTCAGAGTTGAGTTTTTGACTTTTTCAACCAGTGAACAGAATCTGTCAAACGAACACGGCCTGTCGTGTCGGGAAGCCTCAGTAGAAACAATTTAAATTAAATCAAAACTAAACTACTACTGACATCTATATTTATTCCCCATTTATAACACAGTTATTGTACTGTAAACACCGCAAATATCATTACTTTAACCTTCATTTAGGCCTGCTTACCCACAGATTCCACTCTATTTAAATCCTAATGTTTTTATAATAATAATCTGTAAAAGCCCTTCATTCACTCTTGGGTTCATGTTATGATCCATAAATGTACAAGTTTGTACAGTTTTTAATTTATGCTCAATTTTCCTTAATTTAACACATTTACATAATGTGTATGAATTTTTATCTTTATATTTTTATGCCATGAAAAGAATCAGCTGAAGAGTTGAGTCTGACAGGTTTGTGATAATATAATAATTTGGATATAATGGAAACCAATAGAATTAACCTCTTAACAAATAGTAATTTATAGTTTATGTTTTGTGAATCTAAATGGAGTCTAACATGCAAAGAGACCAGTCCTCCTGTCAGTTTAAAAGCAAACTTGTTTTAAGCTGGCAAACTTAAAACCACTTGAAAAATGTATCCAACAGCCCATTTTTAACTAACAGTTTTCCTCTGTTAACATAATATTTTAAATACTTTGCAACATTTTTTTAAGCAAGACATATTTTTTACATATTTCTGGATTTTCAACTAATCTTAATCTTTCATTTCTTCCCCTGTTTCCCACTTTAAGGAAACAGTCTTCTTCTTTTTGGTCTTTTTTTTTTTTAAACTAAGCGTTTTAATTCATTTTATTTGATGTGATAATCTTTTCTTTATTTTATTTAATGACTGGATCCTTTTCTTCTTCGCATGCCTCTGTAGTTTAACCTCTTTAACCATCACAGTTAATGTCTGAAAAGGCAGTTAAATGCGTTTAAGAATATTGGAAACAGAGAGAGGGTTGAAACCAGAATAATAAAATCTCTGATAGAAACCACAGACTCGGTCAACTCGTTTTTTTTTTCTTCTTTTTAAATTTATGTGGCAGAGGCTACACGTTCTTTTGTTATTTTGCTCTCTCGGAGAAGAAGCAGACGAAAAAGCTTCAGTCGTTTCGCACTTTTTATTTGCAGTTTTGCAGTTTAGCGTCAAACGCAGCCAACTTATAACTGAGGGCGTGCGTGAGCGTCTCCATAGACGAGTCCATCCAGATAATTCTCTGAGGGGATGTCAAATGTAGTCGTTTCCTTCAGACTCCACTGGACTAATCCCAGTGGAAAAAATAATGCCAGTGAAATTGAAATAATGTCCACACTGTGATTGATGACTAACCCATTCATGCATTTATATTGAAAAAAAAGATTCGACACTCTCGTTTGGGGAGGTGGGATGTCCTGATTTTAGCCACCAATCTCCGTCCATTTTCCCTCGGCTCTGGGTTTTTATTGCTTCTTAGCGAGTCTTCAAAGAGCCCAGAGCCTGTAATTAGGGGGCGGGACCCGAGTGCCTCAAAACACTTCCCCGCGTTAGAGCCCAACTTCTTCCAAACTGTCCCGGGACTCTGAGCTGCGCTGCTCCCACTCCCCTCAGCTTCCTAAGGATTTTGTTTCTCAGGGATGGCCGCATCTATTCTGGAGGTAGGGAATGTAATTGTAAGTAGCTTTTCATTTTTCTCCTTCTTCTTAATACAAACTTTTGATGGTGGAATATTTATAAGAAAGTCGTGCAGTTATTAAGGAAGAAACTTTCAGTAGTTTCAGGTCGTCTCATAGGTTATTATACGTAGTGAGAGAGAGAAAAATAAGAGTGATAAAAGAGATTTAAATATACTAAAGGCTAAGCTGCTGAAAGTGCCTTGAAATATTTCTATTCACACCGAGCCTATATTTGCACAAATTTGGCGTTTCCTTAAGATGTGATTGCTCATTATCTGGGAACTGTCAGGGGTGCAAGACATGAAGATAACAGGTCCTGTAGGGGCAGCAGGCTAGTTCATCTTAAAGGATGTCACGACTTTTTATTACTTACAAAACAGAGGAAAATCTGCATGAAGAAGGGAGTTCAACCAGAGTTTGTTGTGAGAGAAAGGAATGAACTGAGAGTGAGTCAGATTTATATATTTATATATTTTAACCACGAATATTAAAAGTTACATGCTGTAGTTACAGATGTGTCACAGCTGGTTTGATAGTTGACACCTCAGCGCACAGTTTAAACAGAAATACAGGAATATAAGGGTGATGTTTTATTAGTTATATCCATGTGTAAACTGTGCATCCAGCAGAAAGTCTCTGAAGTGTTCTGCTGTAGCGTTAGGTACTTGCCACGTGGGAACCTAACATGTATCAAATTAAATTCTTGTGACATGTTTGAGTCAAATATATAATCTGATGTAATCGGTTCAGTTCAAAAGTGGCACATTTTTTGCTTTGTAGATAATAAGATCGCGACCGAGAACAATAGCTTGTTGCCATGATGGCAGTTAGATGACCTGGTACATATTTAAATCTGTCTGTATGAGGAGAACTGTAAATTCAGGTGGATTTTTGTATTTTTCAAGCAAACATAAATGTTAAATTAATTTAAGCTGGTCGAAAGCAGTTTGAGCACAACTAAAAGTGAGGGAGTTCCTTTGCTGAGCACAGCTGAAACTTTACAAACACAAACATCCACTGCTTAAAATTGCCGTGACCACTTAGAAAACAGAGAGAGGAGGAAAAGCCAGCGGTGGCGGTCACGCATACGTTTTTTATTAGAGTTGACACTGACAGAAGCGGCAGCAGCAAGCAGCCGTTTCCTGCAGAAAGTCTCATTTTCTCCCGTGTCTCCTCCTCCCCAGGAAGACGCACGCTATGGCTCCAGTCCTCTGGCTATGTTAACAGCTACCTGCAACAAGTTTGGCAGCACCAGCCCTGTCAGGGATTCAGCTACACCCGGTAAGACTGGCAGCACCTCTCCAGTAAAGAAGCCCTACAACATGACCTCTGACCTTCAGACAGCCAAGAACGGGCGGACCACAGACAGCAGTGGCCTGGCAGACTCCTACACTGGCTCCTTCACTTCAGCGGGAGGAGGAGGAGGTGGCGGGCTGCTTACACCCACTGGAAGTCCCCCTCCTTCAGCCGGAGGCTACACTACAGAATATAACCCTTTCTCTCACTCCTTCCAGACTTCGGTCTCACAGGACCCGTCTCTTTTAGTGTCCAAGGCCCACGCTACAGCCGATTGTCTCACCAGTGTGTATACTTCGCTGGATATGACACACCCCTATGGCTCGTGGTATAAGGCTGGTATCCACCCTGGCATAACTGCTGCTCCAGCTAATGCTACATCTTCCTGGTGGGATGTCCATCCCAACTCCAACTGGCTGTCAGCAACCCAGCCCCAAGCAGATGGAGGTCTGCAGGCCTCCCTGCAGCCTGTGGCACCACAGGCATCCCTTAGCCCACAGCTGCCCAGTTACAGCACCGATTTTACACCACTTAACCCAGCTCCTTACCCCTCCGTGGGACTGGGCTCCTCCTCACATCTCCTCCAACCTTCCCAGCACATGCTGCCCCAGGACATGTACAAGCCCAAACCTGTGCCAAGTGCAGGGCTAATTGAGAATCCCATGGGCCTAAAGCCTGCTAGGGGATCAGGGGGCTACAGCGGAGGGGCTACACCCACCCGGTCTTCATGCGACTGCCCCAACTGCCAGGAGCTGGAGAGGCTGGGAGCCTCTGCTGCATCCCTGAGGAAGAAACCAATGCACAGCTGCCACATCCCGGGCTGTGGGAAAGTCTACGGCAAGGCCTCCCACCTGAAAGCCCACCTGCGCTGGCACACCGGCGAACGGCCCTTTGTTTGCAACTGGCTGTTCTGCGGGAAACGTTTCACCCGCTCCGATGAACTGGAGAGGCATGTGCGCACCCACACGCGGGAGAAGAAGTTCACCTGTCTACTGTGCAACAAGCGTTTCACGCGCAGCGACCACCTCTCGAAGCATCAGAAGACCCACGCAGATTCTGCAATGCAGGGCAAAGCTGTAGCTGTGGAGGGAGACGCAGATTCTCGGAGCGAAGAGACCACAGAGCTCAACTCCAGCGCTGTACCTACCAATCCTGTCGCTGACCAAATCACCAACGGAGATGAGAAGACTGGCACGCCTAACGGGGTGGAGAACAGCAGTGGATTGTTGGAGATCTGACTTGATGAAGTCTTGAAATTTTAGAGGTGTTTTCTTTTCTTCTTTTTTTTTTTTTAAATAGGAAAAAAACTCACCTTACAAACACAAAACTGTATTTTATTTCAAGACATACAAAGGAGACAGTGTTTGAAAAGACTTGATATGATACAGGACTGATAAAGGTAGAAATCACTTCTGGACCACACACACACACACAAGCATAAATGTGGCCAAGCCTGCAAACATATAGCGATCCTCAAATGTATGCAGACACACATGCACAAATATGAGCAACCGAGACATAAATGAACACAATATGCACATGTGCACAGGAATAACTATTAGCAAATGTGCAAACATCCATAATGCATGCACGCAGGGGGATACACAAAAGTACGTCTGCTCGGAAACACATACAAGTAAACATGCTCGTGCACAAATTTTGTAGCCTACACACATTTTCTGCCTTTCAAATGAGACAAACCACTGGGGAAATTTAATCTGCAAAAGCAGAAGGAAAAGAGCTCTGAAGCCGCAAAAGGAAAGTTGTTTTAAAACGAGACTTATGGTCAGGATGATGGAGTCGAATGAAGCATTGCATGCCTAGAGAAAAATCTGATTTACAGCTGTACTTTGATACTTATTCATTATTCTTGAAACAATCAATGGACAGTCTACACTTACAGCTTCTTGTTGCCAAAGACACTCTGTTGTACACGGTATTGCATTTCACCTTTGTTTGCTGTTTGCTTCTTACCATGTCTAATTTAATTTCATATTTACTTTAATAATCTAATTTATGTCTTAAATTATACACATGAAAGATTATCTTGCACCTGCAGGAAATACCTGAAGAAGAAAAAAGAATGCAAGATGGTTGAAGCCGGCCAAAAAGAAAATGAAATACATTAAATTAAGACTGTTTTTTTCTTATTTATTAGCTATAAGGACGAGTTTGGGGGTTGTTTTAAAAGTTTTATTTATAAACCTTGAAGTTAAATGTGCGTGTAAACTAATTCTTATATAATCTTTTAATTGTGAAGTCTTCCATACCTGGCAAAATAATGATCAATAAGGGCTTTCTTCCTTGTTTGTGCATACTATATATTGACAACAGTATATAGATATGTATATAGGTATGTTATTTTTGTATGCATTTTCTATGTTTTGTATAACTTTCCACAAGAAATGATGTCTAGAACGCTTTGGTTACAACAACAAAGAACGTAAAGTAAAAGCTTAATTTTTTTTTGGTTATTAATTTTGTTATTTAGGCAGAACTGAAGTGTTTGCTGACTTGTTGTGAAATGAGTGTAAAAGATACTGTAAATAGCGATGAAGCATGGTACACATGTTGTAAGGTTTATGGTGTGGACTAATGACAATTTTGGTGCTTTTAAGAGTAAAAAAAAATTTTGAAAGAGAATTTTTTTGTGTTGTTCCTACACAAAATCCTTCAGAGACGAAGCTTTAACGTGAAGACGGAAATAATGAGAAGCAATTTCTCCTTGAGCCTTTACTTTATCATTTTATCACACTTTATCCCCTTCTCTCGCCTCACTTCACATCATTCTTTTCATATCTTACTGTATTTCCACCCCAGCCTGGCTAACCAAATACTTTCATTATCTTTTGCAGCACAAACAAAGCTGTTCACTGAATTGGAGTCTTAACTCCACACAATGACCCCCTTTCAGAGATCCACTGTAGTTACACTCAAGACAATTACTCCACTCTCCAGCTCGAGAGGGGTAATTACTGAGAGCGATGCTCCAGGAGAGTCAGGAGAGAGGAGAGGAGGGGATTAGGACAGGGGAGCTGTGGTTGTATTGTTTATCCAGGGAGGCGGTCAAACAAAGAACCCCAATTAAGGAAGGATGCGGGACGAAAGACACGATGTGGAGAAACAGACGCTGAGAAGAGGCCGAGCCGATCACCAAGCATCTTTTAAAACGCCTCTCTTTTTCTCTGCCACTTTTCCTGGGTTTGAGGAAGAGTTAAAGTCACAACAAGTGGCACTTGTTTGTCCTTCTCACCACTTTTTTGTCAGGTTACTCAGGCTTTTACAGACTAATAAAAATACTTCAGGAGGGCGGATTTCCCGCTGTGTTTTAAAAGAGAGATAGCCTCAGGATAGACCAAATGAGGCCCCAGATATGTGCACCAGTAGCAGTGCCAGACAACAATGATTTAAGGAGCTAATCTTTATCATAATTAAGCATATTTCCAACAAGATTTAGCAAGGCAGGCAAGCACACATGACAAATTTAGAGATATGGTCAAGTTTCATGGAAAATCTCAGTTCGTAAACAATTACAATACATTAAACTACAACAGGAAACAAAACACTGGCTTCATAAAAGTAAAGACTTTCATGACAGAAGTGAAGAGGAGACCTGCTGTTTGAACCCCCCTGAATCTACTGACTCTACTATTGTAACATTTACACTTCCCAGGCTGCATGGTTCCAATTTAGGGCTTCTAATGAGCTGTAGTTGAGGTCAATTTATATAAAACGTCCCGGGGCCGACTCTGTCATCAGGGGCTGACATGTTTATGGTGGTCTGAAGTGGGCACACGGTCGAGTCCACAACATAAAAGGCAAACATGGGGAATGAGGTATGGGTAGGGTGTGTCAGGCCAGCGAGAGAGGAGAGGGTGGGGGGGTTAAGAAGACGGTCAGTGGCTTTTAAAACCTCTGCTACTACTGGTATTTTCTGCCTTTTTAAAATACACTGCCTTTGCAGTGGTGGTGGTATACTGTAGCCTTAACTTTATTTTTACTTCTTTTATTTAGAAAGCCAGGAAACATTAAGTGTTTCTTCAAGTAACGGCGTAAAAAGAAAATATACATGCAGTGACACATAGAGGCAAAAAGCAGAAGCTGGGACAATCTGTTCCATATGGTTTGCCCACAAGTGCCCATTTGCTCCATTTACAAAATCAAAAGCAGACTTAATAAGACTAAAAAGGTTATTCCAGAGGATCCTAGACACACCTGCTTAAGCCATCGTGCGACTAATTTCCGATCTAACAAAAACAAAGAAGCAATTTTAGAATATTTCCTCGCCCGGTGTTTTGTTAAGCGTCGTTACGCAAACTCAAGCTTAATGAATTACTCCGGGGAGGGGATCAGATTCCAGTTCATTAGAATGAAAGCCCTCATCGTCATGTGTTGAACAAAATGCTAATTAACCTCTTTTCCTGCTATTATCCGGTCCTAACTGATTAGTCAAGTAAAACAATGGGCTGTGTTCTGATATAGCCACAGGCACAAGCACCCCTACCTCTACCTGCCTGCATGTGCGGGCGGGGGTTTGTGAGAGGCAGGACAAAAGCGCAGGTGTCTGCAGGTGTGCCTGGGTCTCTGTGGCGAACAGTGGGCTGAAATGGGAAAGAATGTCAGCGTGCCCGGAGGCTCAACAGCCAGGCCGCAAGTAAAAACAAGATAAGGCTTTAGTGGCAAAGTGGAAAAGTAAAGTGACCTGAGTGAACCATAGCACGACCCGGAGAGCAAAAGAGGTCAGGCTGAACGAAACAAAGGTAAAGGAGAAAGACATTACAGGTAACAGAGGGCAAGAGGTAAAAAGGTCAAGCATGCTTTGCTGATGATTTGTTTTATCTTTTTTAGCGATGCTTTACGTGGCTGAAGCGGAAACTGCACTATGAAAAAGTTCAAAGCGCAAAAGATGTCTCTAAGTGATTAAACATCTTTGTGGATTTTGTTTTATTTGTGCAGCAAATTCCACTCAATCCCAATCCTGCTGCGTTACTTCCTAAATCTCCTCGCTGTGCTACACTCACCGTTACACTGGCGATCGGGGTTTGGCCGGTGTTGTGCCAAAAAGTGATTGTCTGCCAAAAACTGATTTCCGGTATTTGCCAAAAACTGATTGCTCGTATTTAAACTGCTATAAGTAACTTGTTGGGCTATAATATGTGAAACATATGTTAAATGCATCCCTCATGGATGACATAAAGTTATATGAGCCACAAACAACATTCGTGTAACAAGGTAGAAGCCGCAATCAGTTTTTGGCAGCGACTTTTATATAACCTTTATTTATGCAGTTAAAAAAATCTCATTAACATTAAAAATGTATTTTGTCAGAGTAAGCTGGCCAAGAGGACAGCAGAAATGGCAGCAAATATGACAATAGTTCTGTAAAAATATTTTAAACGAGGATAAAGGACCGGATTGGTTATAATGTAAGTACAATAACACAGAGCTGTAAAGATACTTGAAAAAACAGATACTTTTTTAATTCTATATATAATCCCTTTGTAAACGCTGTTCACCGAAGTCTATTTACCAACTTACATAAAGATATTACACATAAAAAATACACGGAAACATTGGAAATCAGTTTTTGGCAGGCAATCACTTTTTGGCACAACACCGGCCTTGGTGTTAATGAATCAAGTAAGCCGTGCGCCTCACACCATCAAACTTGTAACGCTTCTCTTATTTCCAATGCTAATCTTACAATATTAAAGCTTTTTTTTCCCCCATAGTCTGTGAAGTTCCTTTAAAGTTTAAAAAGAAGTGCTCCCTCACTGCCCAACGCACCAAATGCACCACTAAATGAGGCCATTTTGTTTATAGGAACTGTGGGAGGGTTGTGGGTGACTCTGTGCCCCTTTAAAAAGATAATATGCTTCCCATTTAATGGCCTCCGGATGACAAATTGCTTCCAGGGGAAAATTAGGTTAAGAAAATTGCACGTGTGACACGTAAAGACATATCTGCTCAACTTAGGATGTTTGGCATCCATAAGTCAAATATGCGCAGTAATAGGTGCAGTTGAGATTCTTTGAAGAAGAAAAAAAACACGCGCACACATTTGCTCAGGCTTTGAATGAGGCGCACACGTTGGCTGTTTGTCAATAATCACGTACGCCCAATCCTGACTGTCTTCGCGTGCAAATCACAGCTTTAACAGAATCTATCATGAGAAATATACAGCGAAGCACGGTTTACCCCATTTTTGCCATGATGGAAAGTTTCTTTCTTTCAAGACAAGCAGGCCTATATCTCTTGGAGCTGGTTGGAAAACCACTCAGAAAATTGATGGCCCATTATAACCTAATACCGTTACAAATATCTAGAGCACCATTAAAGTGTTCTTTCCTTTTAAAAATGCTTACTATCTTGACTGTATTCTGACTGACACGGAGCCCAAACCATCCTTGTTTACTTTTTTTTAGTCAAGCCACTAAATACTTCCTTGGAACATTTAAAGTGAAGGGATTTAAGAGAGACAGTGCAGAGAAGGGGTGGCGGAGGTGTAAAAACCCACAGCTCTCAGGAGGAAAGGTAGAGAAAACAGAGTCGGGGAGAACCGCCACTGAAAGAACAGCAGTAAGTGAGAAAAAGAGCGGAGTCGAATAGTAAATGAATCTGGATGCGAATCAACAGAATGAGGAAACTGAAGAAGGAAAAAACAGTCAGGGAGGAAGGAGGGAGAAGAGGGAGAGAGACAGAGAGTCGAAACGCAGAAGGAGAACGGAGCGATTTGGGTTGGAAGTGGGAGCTGGGAGCCAGGGTTGGCAGGGTTTGGTGGAGGAGTGTGGTGGTTCAGAAGTCCTCCAGCGCGAGGCGCCAGTGTGTCCGGCGGGGGCCCTGACCATGAGCTGCCTCACCCCCCCAGAGCCACGGCCACAAACCCCCTCTCCCCCTTCACCACCACCACCACCGCCACCCATCCAACCCAAAACCCACTGGCAGGCAGCGCTTCACTGAAGCTGCTGCTGCTGCTGCTGCATGTTTATTTAATATTCTGAAGAAATTGAAATATCTTTGCGGGTTAACACACATACATACACAATTACATATCACTCACTCACACATACGTACAAGCGCGCATACATTCACACACATTACCACCACAATATATAAATAAATAAAGTCGAGTAATAACGTTCTCTTGATCTGTGGCCAAGAGCGGAGTCGGAGAAAATCTTTTTCAAATGGTGTTTTCAGAAGCGCGGAGGGAGGAGCGTGGATGTCTGACACTGCGTGTTGCCTGAGCATGTCAGTCTCAGTCTGGTTCCATCAGAGAAAGAGAGAACATTCACAGCGAAAGATACTCCCAGTGTGACAGAAACACAGAAATCGAACCAAAGCCGAATGTGTGACTGTGCTGATATATTCAAATGACAGCAAGAGGGTCGTGTAGATTCAGTGAAAAAGAAAAAAGAAATCACAGGTTGGGCAATTTAGCCACTGAGTGTGTGGTCCGAGAATGGGAGCATGTATATGAGGTGTTTGAGAAGTGTTAAATGAACAAATGCGCATGCCAGCTTTTTTATCTGCGTGCGCGAGTGAATGTATGCACGCACGCACATCCATAATGAGTGTGCGATCATTACAAAGCAATTCCTTCAGACAGAAATCCCTTAAACAGCCTTGGTTTTGGTCTTCATGCTATCCCCCTTCTGTCTCCTCTCTCCTCAACAGCCACCAACCACTGCTGCTGCCAAAAATAACACAGGAGCGCCACTCGAACCCGCGCCTCACCACAGCGCAGCCTGGCCGCAAGAGAAGGATCAAAACACACACAAAAAAGGAAACACATCATATTGTGGAAGGAGGGAAAAAGAGCAGCTCGAGGCTTCAAGATATCTACTGATGATTTTGGCAAGCAAAGAACCACACATACTAATGCACCAGGCCAAGGCAGGGAAAAGGAAAGTGTGTTTGTGGATGTGCGCATACAATTTGGATGAAGTATACTGTAACTGCTAAGAGATGGCATTCATCGCTGATCTCATTCAGTCAAAGATTTAACCACAAGCTCAATAAAAACGCTCACATTATCACATTATAGGTCAATAAATTGGAGCCTTTAGCTGATAAATAAAGTCTCGGAGAATATGACAAATTAACGCTGAAAGTATGAGTAATGAGGAGGAGGGGTGCGCTCCGGTCACAGATACTCAGGTCAGTGATAAATCACGCTGCTCGGATTGTAGGTTTAGGAGTTCAAATGGGAGGCAGCTCTACTCATTGTCATGGCCAGTTCGCTTTGTCTTGCGTTTGGCAAAGCGGGCTTATCCACACTGACACGCTGATGCCAGTGGACGAAGTTTTCAGAGTTTCGGTTCGACCGTGGCCAGCAGGGCTTTGCAAGCGCACCATCATGGGATTAATTGTTGATCCCCGGAATTAAAGATAATTCATGGAAAGGTGGAAAATGCTAATAAAATGAAATATTTTACCAAAGCGCTGCTACATAATTTGGAAAGGAGACTCTGACGTTGTGGGTTCAGATGATTTCTGGGGTCTGCACGGTTCCTTTGGCTATTTATGAAGACACATCTTTCCAAACCAAGCAGGGGAAAAGATCCCAAATTAAAAGAGCTGCCTGACTGTAATATCACTGTAAAAACATTTACTTGGGTAAATTATTTTTCATTGTAATTGTTTAAAATAAATTAAAAGTGCTGAAAATGTTTCTTTTGAAAGTTTATAACCTTTTTTATTCCATGGAGAGGTTTAACTCTGGATGTTTTCAGAATAAACACTTTGGGGCATATCTGATTTCTGCTTTATGGTGGTCAGTCCACTACACGAAAGGAATTTCTCGTGTTGCCACGTTGGTCTGTAGTGGATATGACAGGTGCTGGACATCCCAGGGACCCGACAGGGAGGGCTGTCAGCAGGGGAAATCTATAGCTAACTGTCGCCCTCTTCTGGTTACACTTAGGAACACCACACCATTCCCAGTAAAACTTATCAAAATCTGTAGCCTATAATTAGGCACATACACAGTTTAGCTACCTCATGCAAAACATATACAACTGTAGAAATTACTGTAAAAAAATAAACTAAGGCCATTTTTTTATTTACAGGCTAAACAAATAACTTAAAAGTTAAGTAACAAATGTAATTAAACGTGATGCAGGACTTCTCTATTTTCTTATCAATCTGTTTTTAAATCCTCAGTGGTCTGAGGTGGAAGATGAGATGATGAAAGCGATCATTTACCAAAAAATGTGGACCATGTTCACGGTTTGGAGATGACGGCTCCACTGCAGATGAAGACCACTGAGAAGATTCATAGATGCAGCGAAAAAGGACATGTAGTAGGGTGGTGTGACAGAAGACGATGCTACAGCAGATGGTGTGTTTAGCGCCCCCTACAGGGAACAGCCGAAAGACGAATGTCTGAATCTTTTACCTCTCTAACGTGCATAAATACTTGGATTGACGCCTGTTGTGTACTTCTGTCTGTACCATCCATAGAAAGACATGTTTCGTGAAATCTCAACGTTAAACGTGCCAAAACAGAGGTTTCGCAGCGAGCCCGTGACGTCATATCATCGCGCCAGAGGACTCCGTAGTCTGTCGGGGCGGCAGTGACGGGGGGGCTTCGCTTTATGCTGTCGCCTCATCATCTGTAAGGGGGAACAATAAACAGCGTCTGATGAAAGCAAGTGTCTGTTTTGGTGGGGGGGATCTGCCATCCGAAACCGACCGGCTCTGTCTGCGTGAAATAGGGAATGAACGACGAGACAGCATCGGACAGCTGGAAGAGAAACTCCGGGTGCTCCAGGTAAAGCTAAGCTAACAGCTCCCCCGGTCAGACCACCGCACTCCTCCTCCAGTAACAAACAAGACGAGAAGGCT